ATTGTTCTTCCCCCTGGAGGGATGTGTATCAATTATTATGATCAGTTCCCCATTCTTCCCCTTCCCCCTCCACATTCTCCCTACCCATCTGGTATCGCTATTCCAATTTCTGCACCTGGGTTGCATATGTCACTAGCTCTTATCTCTTATTCACACCTGTGTACATGCTCTGGTCTAGTCCGACGTGAGAAGCATCACTGGGGTCATGGTGGTGAGGCTTGAGGAAACATCAAGGAGCCAGAGGAATGATGTGTGTTTCATTGGTGCTTTACTGTGCTGTGGTTAAATTATCCCTTCCCTGTGACCCCTTTATGAAGGGATGTCCCATTGTCTACAGATGGGCTTGGGGTCTCTGCTCTGAAACCCCTCATCCTCAACAATATAGTTTTGTTTGCTTGTTTGTTTGTTTTGGATCTTCTGATGCCTGTTACCCGATGACACTCTTGATGGCACAAGCTGGTGTGCTTCTTCCTTGTGGGCTTGTTGTTTCTCTGCTGGATGGCCGCTTGTTTATCTTCAAGCCTTTAAGACCCCAGACACTATATCTTTTGATAGCCAGGCACCATCCGCCTCCTTCGCCACATTTGCTTATGCACCCTTTTTGTTTTCAGCAATTGTACCGAGAGGATGACCATCTCAGATTGCCAATTTGTTAGAACAAAGTCTTCTTGTATTGAGGGAGGCTGTGAGCAGAGTCCTGAAGTCTGCCCACTAACTCAGTGTATTGCCATATAAATATGTGTGCATAGGCCAATACCTCTATTTTGATGGATTAATGTATTTACATATAGACATACCTATGCTTATAGCTCTATCCATAGCTTTGCCTCCTAGATCATTTCTCTGTTTCCTTTTACCTTCCTTCTGCCCCACTATCATGTTCGCCCTACTTATGCCTCATAGTACTTCCTCTCAGCTAGATTATTATTGTGCCAGCACCTCAAGGATCTCTATATCCTCCTAGTTATTGATTTTTATTCCCTAGTTGTTCCCCTGTCTATGGTGTTGTTTGCCCACTGCACCTTTCCCCTGCACCCTTCTCCCTCCAAATCCCCCCAGGATCGTTAGCCCTGTTTCATTATCCTCAAGCTTACTTCCCATGCCCGTCTTATGTAAGTAGGCATACCAATAATGGCATAGACCAAACAAATAGAAAAAAACGATTGAGAAAAAAAAAAAGGAAAAAAAACACCATGCATAATTCCAGGTCTGTCCACTGACCTTTGTGACTATCTCTCCACTGGTCCTGGGGGAATTCCGGGAACTGCCACTCCTAGCCTGAAGTCTATTTTGGGGGGCTCTTTAGTGGCTTTGTGGCTTTGCTTTGCTCCCACTACTGAGCTGTTATGTTCCCTTCTTGGTTTGTCTCACATTTCATCCCTGCTGTGTGACTCCAGTTTCATCCTCTGTAGCAGTATGCTCCAGCAAGGGGCCAGCATTTCATGAGTGGTTTTCAGCCCTACAGTCCTCTAGGTGCCTTCACAGTTCTATGG